GAATGCCAGGCACCGGTATGCAGGGAGCAGGAATACAAGGAGGAATGCAAGGGGCAGGTATGCAGGGAGGAGGGATGCAAGGAGGAATGCAGGGGGCAGGCATGCAAGGAGTGAGCATACAAGGAACAGGCATGCAGGGGGCAAGCAAGCAAGCTGGAGGTCAACCTAGCAGTTTTAGTCCTGGGCAGAGCCAGGTAACTCCACAGGATCAAGAAAAGGCAGCTTTGATCATGCAGGTTCTTCAGCTGACCGCAGATCAGATTGCCATGCTGCCTCCTGAGCAAAGGCAGAGTATTCTGATTTTAAAGGAACAAATCCAGAAATCCACAGGAGCTTCTTGAAAGGTTTTACAAATACTTGGCTACAGAGTCAAGGTCTGTTCTGTAGCATAGAGAATGGATGCAGAAAGCTTAACATCTGCATCCCCACACTTGAATGATTAGGGTTTCCTTTTGTCTTAGAACCTAATCCTGTCTATTTTTTGCAGTATTCCTTTTTATTTTTAATTTTGAGTACAGGGGAGGAGGGAGTGGGTTGTTCACTTTAAGTCACTGTAATTATACAGAAATAACTTTGAACATGATTATACCAAATAAGATTACAAAGAGTATGCAGCAATATGTGTCTAAAGTATGTTAACTACACTTTTAAAATATGGAGTAAAAATTTGTGAACACTGCACATAAAGACTAACAGGTGACTTGTTAAAATGGTAATGTACAGGTAGTTTAACATTTTGGGTTGTATAACAAAATAAGAATTTGCCTGAAAGTTAAAACATATTTTTTGTAAAACATTTAAAATACAAAATCCTATGGGGGTGGGATGGGGACAGTAGAATGCTTATTAGGTTAAACATTGTTTTAGTGTTTGGAATTATTTTAAAACATTAGAGCTAATAGAGTAAGTTTAAACTTGTGGTATTGGAATTGTTGTTTTTTTTCCTAAAGCTATATTACCTGGAAAATCAAGGAACGCATCTGGTTTGATGGTTGCTTTTTTTCCACCCTTCAGAGACCAACAAAATTCTTGCCTGGCCATGAGTGTGACGACTTTGTTAAGATTGACTGGGTTACTTAAGTCTGCTCTGATGAGACCCAGTACTTTCTCAATACCTTTATATTTCTCAGTCATCTTTTCAGTACTAATTCTGAGTTTGAAAAACATCTTTTTCAAAAATCAGTGTCTAGGAACCTGTTGATCTGGAAGAGTTATTCACAGTATTGGGCTTTTTTATAAATAGTAGAACATTTTATTCAGTAAAGCTCTTCATTTCCCTACAACTGGCTTCCATATGCAGACAGTCAACCAGAACCAGGAGTTGACGATCTTAGTCTCAACAACATAAACATGTCTTTTATTTTCTTATTTTTATAGTCAGCTTTTCTGTGACAACATTGAATAACTGAAGCCTAGGCAGGTATAGATACTCACAGCCTGAATTCCCTGCTCAGTTGACTAATTAAGCTTTTTCCAAGTAACAAATCCATTTTGTTCTAATACATATATATACCCATAAGATCCATTTAAATATCAGTAGGAAGGGGGGGCTTATCACATTTCCTTTCAAGCTACTACCTAATTAATTTATAAGTCTTAAGGATTTGGACACAAATACTGCTATTAGACCAAGTAGTAATTAACAGAAGTATAAACTTCCAATTAATTAGGTGATCCTACTCTGGAGAAGGAAAAAATAACTACTTAGGGAAGACATAACAATACAGAGAGCTGAGACTTGGAAATTGAGTTGTTTTCTATTTGCAAATGCTTTTACATTTAAATAGATAATTCACATTCTTTTCAAAAAAGTTTTCATCCCTATGTTGTTTCTGAGCACCTTTTTATTCTTGGTTGTTCCTATTAATTTTCCCATGTTTTCTGTTTGCTTCCTCTATATTGATAAGAAAAACATCCATTTATATGTGTGATAATTCTGGTTCATAACAGTTCTCAAGGTTGGCTTGATTACTTTGAAATTCCAGTTGCTTTATCTCTAAGTTTTCCCTGAATGGCTCCATGGCAAAAACTTAAATGTGATGGTCTTTGTTCTAGTAAAATTTCTGCGTTGTTTAATGTAGACTAAATAAAAAGAATGTACAATTCAGGCTGAGTTTATTATCTGATAATGTTTGTTTATCTGATGTGTCTGTTTATAATGAAGACTATTCAAAAGTTATCTATTTTTAGGTTTTTTCTTAATGGATGTGTTTTTTGGCCACTGGGGCCAGGTCT